ATAACTATACTTTATAGTTATTTAAATAGTAGTTGTGATGGGGGGTTTCATATATATTATATAATTATATCTTCTCGATATCTTTTCTATATTCTGATCTGCTACTATTCATACGACAACTATTATACTTGTGAGTAGGACGGGAATCACTCTTATGTTCCGCAAACACTAATTAACAAAAGTCAACCATTTCGTTTATGAAAAGAACACTAACTTTATTAATACACACTTATTTGCACAATATCAAAGAATACATCCGTCTCCTACAATTACTAACCCCCAACTCACGTTACTGCCGCGGTCTACGTCATTGGTACATTGTCGCGTCATGCTCACGTCACATTCGCGCCACAAATATTGTATTCAACATGCGCACAATACTCTCGCACCAAATCGTCTACAGTCAAGTTCGCACCGTCCTTTGTAACCTCTACTAGTCGTCTAATTCTTTATATCTACGCTATGACATCTCCTCCCCCCCTACAATTAAAAAAAACTAATACTATTAGTTTTTTTTTTCTGTCTTCTTAGTCAATCATCGTATAAATACATAGTCATAGCGTCATCAATGACTGAATTACATTAACATTTCAATAGCAACAATTCCAGCATTCACATTTTCAAAAAAACAAACGACAACAATGTCATGCCGCATCTTGAACTGCCAGTAGAGAACTTTATCATCTGTATTGAAAAATTTACAAAATAAACGTCAGTCAATTTATTCTTTATCTTCGGTAAAGACTGTTCCACAAAAGTTTATCATCTGTGTAGACAAATTTACAGAATATACGTCACTCAATGAATCTTTATCTTCGGTAGAGACAGTTCCACAAATGTTTATCATCTTTGTAGACAAATTAACAAAATGTACGTCACTCAATGAATCTTTATCTTCGGTAGAGACAGTTCCACAAACGTTTATCATCTGTGTAGACAGTTTTCCCTGTTATACTTGACGTCTAAATGTTCCCTTGAGCTTTATAAACACAAAACTTGGCAACACTGTGACCGAAAAACAAATATTTATAAGCTGAAGTTGCCGTTACGACTTGATCGAAAATTGACCGCGACCGTGCGTAAGGCTTTTGTTAGCTGGTTATGGTGACTCTTCTTGCCGTTACGACTTGGTCGGAAATTAACCGCGACCATGCGTAAGGCTTCAGTAATCTGGTTAGGATGACCCATCTCACATTGATTTGGTTCCTCTAGATGTGTTACTTGACGTGATCCTGCGGACGTGTCCTTGACGATGTGTTTCATATGTTCACGTTCATGATGTACTGGTCGTTTGACAGCTGCATTCATTTAAGCTGGGCATCAGTGCGTAGCATTCACGAAGATGACGTCAGATTCTGAGAAAATATGAGCGGACATGTCGTCTTAAACATATGCCAGCTAAGCGTTTTTGTGCCCGTCGGACAAATAACCTTCCTCTTTTAAAGAAAAACCCACCAAATTTTGATATGCTGGTTATTTGTCCACGACACACTACATAATAAAAATAGTAACTACATTATTATAATTATCAACAAAATACCAACTACATTACTAAATCATTAACTACACACGACTAGCATTAAAATAGAAAGACATCTACTACACACAAAAAAAAGACATGTGTGTTGTATTGCGTGTCACATATCTGTAGTGCAGGAGCAGCTCTCTGCCTGTGACTGTAGACTGTACATAGCCATAATTATTCATCCTCCAATAGCAACTAATATATTCTTCACTTTATGGTTATAATGGAGCAGCTCTCATTATACCATGTTATGACAACGACTTCCTTCTGCACCATCAGAATTGAAAAATTGCCTCACGTCGATATTTACGACGACTTAGATTCATACCATACATTTAGCTATTCGATAACTTGAATTTACTTTACTTATTAATCCTTGTGTAGTCGTTGTTCAAAACCGTTCGTAAGGGGGTGTGCGTGGTCTAAGTTCTATCCGTCATGGGGTAAAGCACATGGGGCGCTAGGTCAAGGTTAGGGTTGAACAGGTCCGTCGTCTGTCTTGTACTCGTGTGCAGGTCATTTCTTTAGGCTCTGTAGTTTCTTGTGCTCCTGACATTATCTGATTAAGTGCTGACCAGGAATAGTAGTAAGCTCTCTCACCAATTGAATTATTTAGGACATATTCTTCATTTTCATTGTTGACTTTTTTCTCTAATCTGAGCAATCTGTCATTAAGTTGATCATTCTGTTTCCTCAAACTGAGAACAACTGAGCCGATTTCTGTGATTTTTTTAGACAACTCTTCAGTAACTGTGTTCATGTCTACCACCAAATTATCACTCCTTTTCTGTAGATCGTACATCGTTCTGTTTACCGGTTCGATAGAACTTTGTGTGTCGGCCTGCTCGCTTCTTACTTGTGTTGTATGGTTCATGTCATTCTCAACTTGAAATTGTTTGACACCTCTGATGTTGCCTAGGATCAGATCGTGTGGACCATATCTAAACACAACTGCTTCTACTGTTCTTGTTGCTGATGGCGTGCTAATCTGGATTATTGCTGTTGGCCAAACATATGTTATGCCTCGTGAACTCTGGACATGTTGTGTTCTGCCTGTGTATTGATGTCGTCTAACAAAGTAGCTTCTAACAGCTATTGTTGAGCATCGTGTGTCCCTTATGGCTCGCGCGAATCTGTTGTTAATCTTGGCTGTAAATATTTCTTTCCTGTTGCTGGCTTCACTAAAAGATGTCATGTATGCTGATCTATAAATTGGTCTCTTGTATTGACGTCTATTCTGCTGTATATTCCGCTGGAGTCTATCATCATATAGTTTCTTACAATTAACCTTTTTGTGACCTGATCTATTGCAGTAATAACATCTGATATTGTGATAGTTCTTTTGTCGACAATAGTTCATCTGTATGTTGTGGGCTGTTGTGGTATCTTCTTGAACTGAGAGTGGCGTATTAATTTTTGTAGTAGGTTTGCTCTCTGTTTCACTGTATGAGTCATCTGAATCGTAGTAATATTCATAAGTAGATCTAGGTAGCTCTGCTTTTTGTTGTAGCGTTGACTCATGTTTAGGTTGCTGTGATCGATTCTCTAACTTTAATTTATATTGACGTAGTTCTTCTACTTCTTTTCGCCTTATTTCTACTTGTAGTCTCATTTCGCTTAGTTCAAGTTCAGTTTGTTTTTCAATCTCGGCTTTATAAAGTTCAAATTGTTTTTCCATCTCGGCTCTACGAAGTTCGGATTCTCTTTCTCTTTCTTGCCGAGCCTTGGCAAACATAAATTCAACTTCTGCTTCACGTTTTTTGTAGTCTTCTGATTTCTCATCTAATTTAGCTTTAGCTTGAACGGATTCTTCTTCTCGTTTGGCCTCTAGCTGAACTCTATAGTGAGCTAACGCCACTTGACATTGTCTTTCCTGTTCTGCATCCTCTAAAAGTCTTAATTGGACTAACTCAAATAATTTATCTTCATCGACAACTTTGTCTTGCTTTCCATATTTGTTCTTCTTCAGCGATGGTTCACCAATGGTATACTCTAAGCCTAACTCGGGCTTAGTTCTAGTTAGAAGTTCGTTAAATGGAGGCATGTCTTAGTGTGGTGTAATAAAGGTGATGTGTGGGGAAAAAAAAAAAGAGTAACAAAATAACATTAACTGAACAGGACAATACACATAAATGGGCGAGAGTAAGATAGATGTAGCTTACTCCAAGCCTACCACAGTACGTAACACGTGACAGGTTATAAAGAGAAAAAAAAAATGCTGGGAGCAGCACGATAAACACGATAATGCGAACATTACGTGATACAGCTAACTATAAATGTGTACCTCTTAAATAGCAGGCCTACACTCAGTGTGTCCTATAATTAGGAAGCCTCAGCCAATTTAAGAATAACAAGACTAGATCTATAAAGACATAAAACAAACACGGAGAAGAAAAACTGCTGAATAACCAGCACAGGATCCAAACAATCCCGGTTACTTAAAACAAAATTTGAGGAAGGTACTTATCTTGCTTCCCTGCGATGATCAAGTAGCACCTCTGGTCAACACGAATCCGCTTCAAACTTCACAACTTTTCACTCGAATCTTTTTTAAAACACCACTTGCGGAATTAAGGACCACTTGTGCTCCACCAATATGTGATGGGGGGTTTCATATATATTATATAATTATATCTTCTCGATATCTTTTCTATATTCTGATCTGCTACTATTCATACGACAACTATTATACTTGTGAGTAGGACGGGAATCACTCTTATGTTCCGCAAACACTAATTAACAAAAGTCAACCATTTCGTTTATGAAAAGAACACTAACTTTATTAATACACACTTATTTGCACAATATCAAAGAATACATCCGTCTCCTACAATTACTAACCCCCAACTCACGTTACTGCCGCGGTCTACGTCATTGGTACATTGTCGCGTCATGCTCACGTCACATTCGCGCCACAAATATTGTATTCAACATGCGCACAATACTCTCGCACCAAATCGTCTACAGTCAAGTTCGCACCGTCCTTTGTAACCTCTACTAGTCGTCTAATTCTTTATATCTACGCTATGACAGTAGTGTATAATTTATTTTCTCCTTTTTAGTGCATTATTACATAAAAGCTTGTTATTTAAACGTTTTTAATGAAAGTTTTTTAGTACTTTATATGTTTTATTTACACTAGAGTTCCATGACTAAAAACCATTGCGCACCTATTGAACGTGATGACGCGTGTCTAATAGAACGGAATAGTTTGATGAGGCACCCTACTAATTTTGACATAATTTTAATTTATTCATAGAAAATTAATCATGCAACCAATTAAGTCAAATTTAATGTCATGTTGCATAATCATCATGTCTTGACCCAAGTGCTAACGTTGAAATAAATCTGTCAGTTGACCTAAGTGCCAACGTTGAAACAAATCTGTCAGTTAGAAGTGTCTGAAATTTCGTTCGGGCGTTTTGATCTAGACAGACAGACAGAGGAAAAGAGTTAAATAAAAGCTTGTAAAAGGTTATTTCGCCGCATTTCTATTATTAATCTCTCTTTGAGCATTTAGTCTACCGCTATAAAATGTAAGCCATTTTTGGTAGACTGCAGGCAGGGTGTAGAGTACCGGGTTCACGGCTGAGTTGAGGGGGATAACACAAATGGCCAGCCAGCCATGCGTGTCCGGACTAAACGTGTGTCCACTGGCCGACATCAGGCCAACAACACACACCGGAAACCAGCAAAAAAAATTGGACAACACGACCAAGGACAAGTTTTTGGCCACTGTGATTTCACGTCTGCGATGTGTTGAGGAATTTATTTGTGAATCTGAGGACAAAGCGATAGACTTGAAGATAGCGATTTGGCCAGCGATGATGAAAATAAGCTGTAGAAAGTTGAAGACGATGAAAACAGCGAAAGAATAAGTCCAACCTGTGCTGCGTTTCATGTTTACAGGAATACCTAAACACATACCGTTGGAAGAGTAGATTTCCCACTCGGGGTACAGAACAGGTAAAATAGCCAGAACAAGACCGATAACCCAAACCGCGACAACGGAGGCGACTAAACCAACAAGAGGAATCTTGCATGGACGCAAGGGGTTTTTAAAGATGAGATACCTGTCTAGAGTGATGAGCAGGACAAACATGGTGGACGTCTCACACGATAGTGTGAGCAGAAAACCTGCAGCCGTACACAGAGAACTTTCCCGCCATTGGCTCTCGTAGATGACGTAGTTGTCACGATGGTACACGTCACTTCCGGCGATGAGGAACAAGTAAACGCCCATGACTACATCCGACAGGCCAAGATTTGTGACGTACAGTTTGTTGCTGTGTTTCATTTCCCTCAACTCGAACACAATCCTGTATACGATGACAACCAAGTTGCCCACGCCGCCACCAGCTGCAACCACCCACAACAACACCCGCTTGATGACGTCACCCAGGAGATCGTCACACGACGAAATGGCGTCCCTTGGTGCGTAACAAGTGTGATCGGGAATACCCTGACCTTTAAATTTCTGACAACACAGTTTAAAACTATCCCCGTATATTCCTTGTTCTATTTTTAAATTCCCTAATAAAGAAGCGGCTTGCTGGTCATATTTAACCATCGTGTTTCTTAAATCTAATATTCCTATCTTAGTGACGTTTCTCAGCGTATTCAAACTACAAAAATGGGTATGACTTAAATTCAATGTATGAAAATAAGCCTCTAAATCAAGTACAGAAGTAATAACTTGAAACTCCTCCATTTGTGTGTAAGTAACGTCAAGTTTGAAGTTTTCACTTAAATGCTGAGAGGAAAATATAATTTTTCTGAATTTTGTATGTGATAACTTTAAATCTTTCACCGAAGGGAGGTAAATCATGTCCAGTTCATCGATGTTATTGTAACTGAGATCTACGACTTTTGTGTGTTTCAAACAATTGCCTAAAGAAAGTAAGATATTTGCAAGGAGGCTATTCGATAAATTGCAGTTGGATAAATAAAGCTCAAGTACTTGCGGTAGATTCAATTGTGAAGGTACAACCACGTGATACAGGTCTATTCCAGAAAAGTTCAGGGTTCGGGTATTCGGGTGAAACGACTCAAATAATCCTGTGTTATTGACCTTACTGAGGTCAACGACCGTGGCCACGCCCCACTGACACACAAATCCCGATGGGCAGGTGCTGTGACAGTTTAGCTCGTCATCTCCCGTCCGACAGTGTGGCACGCCGTCACAGACGTGCGCCACGTCTATCCGGATAACGGAACCACGGCATCCATATGTATCCACATGGGATAAGACATCCACGGATAATTCATCGTCTCCAAACGGACAATCCATTGTCCCGTCGTTGAGCATATAGAACGGGATACAGTAAGACTGGCGACATTTATAGAGTCCTTCGACGCAAATAAAATCTTGACAGTCTTTTAAATGCGACAAATCTGAACAACCTAGTATTTTCCCCTTCAAACTTTTTAAATGAACACACCTCGGTGCCCAAACACTTTTCTCCAACTGCTTTTCTTCAAAACGCAAAGAAAAAAATTGATTTCTGTTTTCGCATACGGCTTTAGCGTCATTCGGCTCGTCATTGTGACCATAATTTTCGACGTCACACGCATTCACAAGTTTTGTGATATCTTTCCAAATTTTGTTGTTTACACCGGAAATCCCCGTTTTATTTTTAAACCACTGCCGTGGTAAACAAACCTGATCCTCGCACAAAATTTCTAAGCAGTCGCTATTTATTTTTGGGACAAAGACGAAGGCTCTCGTATAATAATCAATCGGCCCATCTATTTTACACATAACCTCGTCTCCAGAATTCGTGCAATCTGAAAAACCATCGCATACATATATGTAGGGTACAAATTCATTCATGTATCCACAATCAAAAAGCTTAACCACTTCGTCTGGTCCGGACTCCACTCCACTAGAACCAGCTCCATCATTGGTGATAACTTTCGAGTGAACAAAAAGATTTTTCATGTCAATAATTTCCAAACTTTTTGCACCTAAAAGCAACCTATCACTCATATCTAACTCACAAACACTAATCTTCGTAAAATCGGAAATAGAACTCACAGTTTTCCAGCTCATGTAAGCATTTTCTTGTAAAGTGCTGTTCTTTTCAGGAAAAATCTCCATGACTAAATCCGGATCTGGGCTGCAAATTTCAAGAATTTCTTCCAACAAAACAGGCCTTCTGTTTTCCCATTCATATCGATCATGTTGTGAGGTCTTTTTATAAACGCCCACGTGAACCAAGAACGAATTTGCTGGTCCATTTATTTTTGTGTATTCCGAGGCTATTCTTTTTGTGAGGAAATCCAGTTCTTCTTTATCTTCAATGGCGACTAAACGAGAAGCCATTTCAGCGCAGTGGGTGGATGCTAAGATATGGCTGGTGTTGGATTCAGAAATCTCTAGCTTATAACAAGACAACTTCTCCGAGTTCATCTGACCACTGTACCCAAACCATCCAGTTAGGCACTGACCACACAACAACATGGAAACCTCTTGGTTGTGTGTTAGGTTGTCTGCTGAATGAATAAAAACCACGTTGATGTGTTTCAGGAGAGGCCAATCTGAGAATGGTAAGTGTGTGATGAAAATAAAAAACACGTGTATCCCTTCTGATGTTAAATAGGTTGTTATGGATGTGAATTCAAACGCTAGATCGAAGGACCGCACAAAGTCAGAATATTTATAAAGTACAATCATCAATCGATTCCGATTTCTTGGTGGGCTTTTCAGAGTTTTTAAATAATTGACACCATGAGTAAAGTAATTGGCGTTTAGTTTAACATTTTTTACTTTCAAATTTCTTAGTTCATTTAGTTGCTGTCTGAAACTTGTCGAATTTTGATCTTTTACATTAGATCTGTTGGAGTTGAGTTTCCCATCTGGAATGTACTCATCAAACTCAATAATGGGAGCCTCATTCTCAGGTAAGAAAAGCGAAACGCTAAATCTCTCCAAATCGTGATGTAAATTAGTTGTAAAGTAATTTACAACGGTCTCCAGTCGCAGTTTGTAGATGTCGTTGATTTCATCCGTGTATACCACGATGTCCCAGTTGCCTATCCGGCAGTCTTTGAGAGGAAACCCTTCAGACGCTACTGCTCTTGGCACCAGGAACTGTGCTACATATTAATAACGGTAATATCTTACAAAGTGTTTTGAAATAAAACAAATGTACAAAGCTTTATAATAACAAGCTTTTAAATGCACTTAAATTAAAATAAAAACTTACTCTATTTAATGAAAGCTTTTGTCGATATAATTTTTAGAGGGACCAAAATATATATTAAAAATACTAAAATTAATAACGAAGAAGAAGAAAGAAGAAATTCTGGGTTTACAGAAACAGTGAACTCTACTTCACTTGCTCCACTTGGTTCGAAAATAGAACACTAATTTATTTAACAAATAATGTTGTTTATCGTTCAACTGCAGTTTTTTTATTACATATTTAGCAAAAAAGGTAAAATAAGATCATCGTCAACGCTTATAGATTATTAGTAAGCAAAATATTAGCTGATGAACTCCTAAAATTGTAAATATTTTAAGCTTAATTTACTTTTGTTAATTACAAACTGCAGTGAAATAATGAAGCAGTCCTAAAAAGGATTTTGCGCTTAAGTTGTGAAGTTGGAAATTAAGATGTGTGTTGCGTTAAATAAGTGTTCAAATTAAATTTGGTTAAATGTGTGTTTAAAGTTTACTTGGGTTGGGTTGTAATTTAACCCCCCCCCCCCCATGAGACGCTCCTGGCTACGCCACTGATTTGTCTTAAATGCTTAAGATGGGCCTACTTACCAGTCAAATACAGAATAAAGAGTAACTTAAATGCTGTTTTAACTCTTTTGAGAATGGTAAAAAGTCTTTGCTCCATGTTGATAAATTGTAACGGACCAGTTAAATGATTTCACATCCCGATTTCTTAAATGAAATTGTAATCTAAGATATACAAGGTCTAATTTGAAAATTGTCTATATGTTTTCTTCTTCTAATCCTACCTTTTTTTGTTAAACCATAAATATATGCATAGTTAGGGCAGGTAAGCTGTCAGTATATGACTCACCTGTCAGTGACATGCCCCGCCTCTCATTAACGATTGGCTGAGGACCTGAGAGGGTTAACTCTTCTATTATTAACTTTTACAAGGGAAGACTTAATCATGCTTAAGTCAGGCTCCACCAACCAGGTTAGCAATGATCTTTGAGGGGCAGTCGAGACGTCACTCCCTCCTTAACCAACACGTTTCGTGCTATGACCAAAAAAAAACCTCGCAGTCTGGTGATGTACATTATTTTGTGCACGACTTGATTATAAAACTAGCAAGAATTCAAAATCCGGTCATCCGCCCGTCCGTCCGTCCGTCCGTCCGTCCGTCCGTTCGTCCGCCCGTCCGTCCGTCCGTCCATCCATCCATCCATCCATCCATCCATCCATCCATCCATCCATCCATCCATCCATCCATCCATCCATCCATCCACCCATCCATCCATCCATCCATCCATCCATCCATCCATCCATCCATCCATCCATCCATCCATCCATCCATCCATCCATCCATCCATCCATCCATCCATCCATCCATCCATCCGTTTGATTTTAACGGTTTTTTAACCCACTCTTCCGCTCCCTCCACTACAACAGTCGAGCGTGTCGGAGGCATTTATGACGAGACAACTCGGACTTAGGATACATAGTTGTTGCTTCTATGTTCCTAGGCAGGGAAACATGTTAGTTTCGCATGGTATTACTGTGAGGAGTATTGTTAGAATTTGAATTTTAAAAATTAGGGGTAACTTAATTTTAAAAGGAACAAAATAAAAACTTACATACGGCCCTGTTAGAAAAATACTTACAATCGTTTCAATTTTGTGTCATTAAATTAAAAATAAAAAATTAATCAGGCGACCAATTAAGTCAGATTTAATGTCACGATGCATTGTCTTCATGTCTTGACACACGTACCAATTACGAACCGTATCTGTCAGTTAAAAGTGCTTGCAATTTCGCTCGGCCGTTTCGATCAAGACAGACAGACTGACGACAGAGGGAGCAAGTTAAATAAAAGCCATTAGACTCCAATAACGATTATTTATCATGTAGGGTTAAAATACACGAAATTCTACAATACAATGAATCTACTCTCCATAACACATCGTAAAGAAGAGATAAATGCTGCCATAGAACCTTAAAATCACCAAGCTGAGATAGCCGTCTCTAATGCATATATTTAAGCATCTTGTTTCATACCTAATGTTGCAATTGTGCACCAGTCTATCAAACCTCACAACACACTAATGGGAAAAGTTTCAAGAATTATTTCAATAGAAGTCTTATATAGATGTAGGAAATTAATGTTACGTTAAAATAAACAACAAAGTGATGTTATGGCACGAAGTGTTGTTGGAGAGTTAGATCAGTTGAAGTGTTTTAAGTGAGTTCTTCTATAGAGTGAACATACAACTTGATAGATACACTAATAGGCGAGAAATTGAACTAAAATGTTAGTCCCGTCTTCTGATGTATTTTTATTTGTGCAAAGAAATGTTATGACAGGTCAACACGGGTGGTGTGTGTGTGGGGGGGGGGGGGAGGGGAAGGAGGGGAAGGAGGGGGGGGGGGGTAATAAATCAGGTGATTATTAGCTTCTTTAAGCATATGTTTATAGGGTACGAATGTATGACTATGTTTGTGTGCAGATTTATCTATATAAGATTATGTATTCGGGCTATTTGGAGTATGTATGTAGGGCTATGAATGAAGGCCTAGGAATATGAGACTATGTATGTAAGACTATGAATGTAAGCCCATAAATGTAGGCCTACTATGTAAGCCTATGCGTGTAAGCTTATGTAAAACGATGTATGATATTGTAGGCAGTTTATATGTAGGTTTATGTGAGACTATCATTGAGTCAAACTGCCCGTTAGCCTGTCACGTTTGAGGTCAAATGCTGTAATTCAATTTGGTCCAATTTTTAATGAAACGAATTTACTGCATTCGATAATAATAGGGGAAATAAACTGCCTAGGTGGTAGCGGCCCCTGTATCATTCGGGTGAGCTACAAAAAGTTGTTTTATTATTATATCGCCAAACTAAGAAACAAAAAGAGCGTTAATAAAAAGCAGATAATCTACTGACAAACACACTCACAATCACTGCGTTGCTTGTGATAATCAGAGCTTGTGTCTACAATGAATGCACACAATCTCTTTCTCACATATTAACACATAAAAAACTAGAAAAAATCAGGAGTATGAATAGAAGTTATTTATTGATTTATTATTTCCAATCAAATTAGAAGTTGTTTTTTTTTCTTAATCAAATTTGTGTTTAATTTTGACTAAAAACTGTTATTTTTTTTCTCCTGTTTTAAATTTTTTTAATACGTTATAATTAATTATTTTTGAATGCAATAGAGAAGGATATGATGTATAATTTTTAAAATTCTAACTTGATGTGTTTCTTTTATTTAATTAATTTTAATTGAGAAAACTCAATTATGGTACTAATAGTGATATGTTGTTTTCTTAAAAGCAAACAGTTGACTCGAAGAATGCAGAAATTTTATCGAATTAATAATTGTGTTTTACTAAATTTTGATTTTTTAACAAAATAAAAAAATAATAATAATTTAAAAAAAAATAGATATAATACAATTAGTAATATTATATTAGCATAATTTTGAATTAAACATAATGTTTACATTATCGAAAAACTAATCCAATTAAAATTAAGTATCATCAATCCCTTATAAAAGAGATGTAACTTATCATCTTTATCTGCAAAACAAAGTAACTTACCATTGTAATTAATAATGTACCCATGATACAAATCAGGAATGTGTCATTGGCCTATATATTTAAAAAAAAATATATATTCAACTATCAACGTAATATATTAAATTAAAGTAATGTAGAACAAATATTAACAAACTGCAAAGCTAAAAAAACATTTTATATCATTATATACAAAATCATTATATGAATACAGAATAAACTGCTGTTAGTTTTTTCCCTTTTATAAATTTGAAGAGGAAAGGGAAACAACCCACAATTATGTTCCTAATGTGGTTCAGCATATAAATTATAGAGAAACTCAACAGTAATAGTATAAATAAAAATAGGGATCATAGTTTACAAGTTGATTAAATTTGAGTATTATAAATCATACATGACTGTTTGTTTTCTTTTTGTAATTGATAGATTTTAGAATTATAATTTGACTCTAGCTGCAATGGAAAACTATGAACTGCATTAATACTTAATTTTTAAACAGTTGCTATATAATGATAAAAAGAAACTACTTTAATTGGGTTTCTCTAATTCTATTTACCTTCATTTGAATTGTTGATCGACAAATCATTAGTTAGTTATGTTCACCATTTTGTTAATGTAATGATATTTTTTTAAATGTTTGAATTGAGTTACAAATGACACTAACACAGGGGTCGGCAACCTGCGGCTCGCGAGCCGCATGCGGCTCTTTTGATATCAAGATGCGGCTCTCCAGCTCCTTGAACAATTACTAATAATCTTAATAAAAAAAAAATATTTGGAACAAAATAAAATGTTTGTGGCTCTTTAAAACCAGGGAAATTTTGAAAATTGTAACTTTTGGCTCTTCCGCTTCAAAAGGTTGCCGACCCCTGCACTAACACATCTGTAAATACTGATGTTATTATTTCTATTTGAAAATTAAAAAAAAAAATTGTACATAATGCATTGAAACTTATGTAAAACAATTATGTCTTTTTTGTGTGACAACTCTACTGTTTATACATATGATGAGAGCTCACATCATGTGAACTGTGTATTTTTCAACCAGCGTTTGTTTCCCTTTTGTTACAAATATTCACCCTCATTCACTGTAAACTGTTCACTCCTATCAGGCTGCGTCAGCCACCGAAAACCACCCCCCTGCCCCCACGACCCCTAGCATTCATTTTATTAACTCCAGGTTTGCATAGTATTCTGTGTTAGATGTCTTATGCACTTATGTGTAAATTTTATGTAAATTGGGTTGCTGTAAATCCTTTATAAATTTTACTACAGACAAATGCACCCACCCACATGTTGATGTTACTTGTTTTAATTGGAAATAAAAGTATTAAAAAATAAAAAAAAGTACCCAGAGAAAATGTACAGAGTCCATCTCAACTTCTTATACTCTGCTCTCTACATGTCATATGGAAAGATTACCAGCACCAGCAATGTGGTTTTCAAGGGCATGGGCATCTGCCTCCTTCAAAACAATAACTTTACATAAAAAATGTGCTTTTAAAAACCAATTAAATGAATCACATTGCATTAGAGAAAGTCATGTGTTTTATTTTCATTACATACAATTTTAAGAACTTTTATTTGATTTAAAGAAATAACAAATTTTCAGCCATGGAAATTAATGTATTAACCCAATCATACTAATATAACAATAGCATATAACATTTGTCTATACCACCCCCTACCTTAGGCATATATAACACAAACAAAATTACAAACCACTGACAAATCCCCTTCATGATGACCAATCCCTTATGTTACCCCGCTTTACACTGACTTATGCAATCACATAACAAATTAAAATGTTATGAATTTTTTAATACAAGAATAAAAATTTAAACATTGTACAAAATATTTTACTAGATAAAAAAATTAATTAACTTTAAATTATGTATATTTTCATAGTATCAAATAAAATATATCCTAAATATTGAAAAGTTGCAAGCATAGTCCTCCATTTCAAAAATGGAGCTGTTCTGAGAAAATGTACAACTTTTATAAATAATTGATTGATAATTACAACAACATAGAAAATTTGTTGACATGTAATGTAAAAAAAAAGAGAGTAGCTATAACTATATATAATTTAAATCTTCTTGTATTTTGTTCCTTTATTGGGGACTGTGCTATTGCGCTTGATGAAAACACCACCATCATCGTAAATCTTCTTCTTCGATTTCTTTTTCCTGTTTCTGGTGGCTTGGTGATCTGGTTCTTCCTCATGCTTGAAGAAAATAAAAAATTTTAAAATTTAATATTATTTCTAAAATTACACAATATAAGTAAAAAGTGAAGTTCCTGCACAGGATGATGTTCCTGAGTCCACTCAGCTATGATAGGTACTTGACTCATGTTAGGGAAAGTAAAAAGTGGCTGGGCATAAGAAACTGATGAATGCTACATAATCAGCCATACATCATGTCCAAAAGCAAGATCTGAACTTGAAGCTATGTGTTAGCAGTCATGTGCTCTACCACGCAACCACTCCCCCCTCCATAATAATATATAATAAATAGAACAAACTAGATTTAAAACAGAAAAAAGTATAAGACTAAGAATCATCAATGTAAGATTTCATTTTTCTATTTTCTCTTAATATACATATTGATTATTTTAAAAACTATTACCCATTTATGGGTTGTTTTTTTTTTAAATATAAGTGAAAAACATGTATTAAATTACCACTAAAGTCTGATTTTAAAATTTACCAACACTGCACAATTGAAATATTAGAAACCTACCATGTTGATCTGCATATTTTCTATCTCTGAATTAAGGTAGCCAATTTCTCTTCTGTACTGGTCAAGCTGGGCTTCCAACTTCTCCCTTTTCAGCCTTTCATAGTCCAGTTTAGCCTCCAGTTCATTGATTGTTCTGTGAAACAAAACACAGATAGCAATGTAAAGCATAGCAGAGATTAAAGTGGAATGGGAATCCGAGAAAAAAAAAACAATGTGTATCAATGTTTTTTTGAATGGTAGAGTTGCTGCTCAAACTTGTCCTTCAACACATGAAACCAACCCTGGTGCCACACATGAAGCCAACCCTAGTCCCACACATGAACCCAACCCTGGTCCCACAGATGAACCCAAACCTGGTCCTACCTGGTCCTACAACACATGGATCCAACCCTGGTCCTACCTGGTCCTACAACACATGGATCCAATCCTGGTCCAACCCTGGTCCAACACAAAAACTCAACCCTGGTCCCACACATGAACCCAACCCTAGTCCCACACATGAACCCGACCCTAGTCCCACACATGAACCCGACCCTAGTCCCACACATTAACCCAACCCTGGTCCCACACATGAACCCAAACCCTGGTCCCACACATGAACCCAACCCTAGTCCCACACATGTACCCAACCCTAGTCCCACACATTAACCCAACCCTGGTGCCACACATGAACCCAACCCTGGTGCCACACATGAACCCAACCCTAGTCCCACAAATGAACCCAACCCTAGTCCCACAAATGAACCCAACCCTAGTCCCACACATGAACCCAACCCTAGTCCCACACATGAACCCAAACCCTGGTCCCACACATGAACTCAACCCTAGTCCCACACATGTACCCAACCCTGGTCCTACAAATGAACCAAAGCCTGGTCCCACATGAACCCAACCCTGGTCCTACATGAACCCAACCCTTGTCCCACACATGAACCCAACCCTAGTCCCACACATGAACCCAACCCTGGTCCCACACATGTACCCAACCCTGGTCCTACAAATGAACCAAAGCCTGGTCCCACATGAACCCAACCCTGGTCCTACATGAACCCAAACCTTGTCCCACACATGAACCCAATCCTACTCCTACACATGAATCCAACAATACCCCTACACATGAACCCAACCCTGCTCCAACAATCCATGGCCAAACCCTAGTCCCACACATGAACCCAACCCTAGTCCTACACATGAACCCAACCCTGTCCCACACACTGACCCAACCCTGGTCCAGAACATGAACCCAACCCTGCTCGAACAACACATGGCCCCAACCCTGGTTCCACACATGAACCCAACCCTACTCCTGCAAATGAACCAACCCTGATCCCACACATGAACCCAACCCTTGCCCTACACATGGACCCAACTCTAGTCCCACACATGAACCCAACCCTACTCCTACAAATGAACCAAACCCTGATCCTACACATGAACCCAACCCTTGCCCTACACATGGACCCAACCCTAGTCACACACAAGAACCCAACCCTGGTCCTACACAAGGACCCAAAACCCTCTCCACTGCACCCTAATCTAAGTGAGCTCCGCTATGTCAGCCACACTTACTGGTCTTTGTCCCTCATCTCCTTCAGCCTCCTCCTGTCCTCCTCCAAGGATCCGCCCAGCTGGACATAATTTTTTTTGGCAATGTCCAACAACCTTTCAAGTTCATCTACTTTCATTTTGGCTCTTCCTGTCACAGAAAATTTTATTTTGTACCCAGTTTTCAATTGTTTACTGGTTTTAAAAAAAACAACTACAAATAGCATTAAGTTTTTGCTGTTGAATCTATAATCACAATTTTTTATTGGTTAAATATAAGACTGTTTATATACAAGTTATTAATGTATTAATTAATCAGTAAAACAAAAAAGTTTTAAATTTATACTAGCAAATAAGAAAATGTATAATTTTATTTATTAGATGAAATTTAAAAATAATATATTTTGATTTTGCTTAATGTTAATCATTGAAAACCATTGTGCATGGATATAAAAGGATACACTCTTATCTGAGAAGAGATGTTAATGTTTTATTTATATTTTATACAGATTAACCTCCCATTGGTATATTCTTTAATAAATTTTTCAGAAGCTGATAAATGGAATTTTACCTTTAGCGTTATCTTGGGCTTTCTTTGATTTTCTGGCCTTTCTTTTAACACCATCTCCCTCTTCTTCTTCATCTTCACTCTCAGTTCCCACAACCAGCTCTTCTGCTTCATCTAAAGTTGTAAATAATTTCCTACATGAACACACTGTTTATCGCAAAACAATTTTTTTCCCTAAAATTAATCTACACATTGGTGATTTTTTATTTTTATTTTAAAGATTTGAATTTGAACACACTAAAATCTTCTAACAGTTGGGATGGGAAAAAAAATGGAATTAGCACTTAAAAGACATTAAACACTGACTAGGTTTTTAAATATTTTAGAGTAAAATAAATGCTAGGAAATTAAGACCATTATAACTTGCTAAAATATTTTAGACATAACATATGATTGACGCGCCAAACTTTCTAAAATAGTTTACTTTTAAAATAAATACAACAAACATTTAAACATTAAACACTCATGTAAATTTAAAAATATAAAGGTCTTGAAACTAAACAAAAAGTTAGATAACCCATAACTGACTGTTGGGGTTAAAAATAAATACAAGGGAAATAACTCTTAAATGTCTGACCTAAACTGGTTCCACCAAGTAGCTTTGCACAGGCCAACTGAGCAAAGCGTCTGGCAACATCACAAGGTGTTTCTCCAGCCTGGTTAGTGATGGTCATGTTGGCCCCCATCTCTATTAGCCATTGTAGAATATTTATATGGCCCTGTCCAGCAGCTAAAAATATTTGTAAATTGGTTGATTTTTTATTTTTTAAATTTGATAAATTAATGTGTAGAAATATTTTTTTAAAGAATGCATTAATGTAAACTCATATAATTTTTTTTTTAAATTGTAACTTTATAGTTTATATACAAATATTACCGAAGATATAATTGTGCTTAATTTTTATTTGCAAAACTTGAAAAAAAAAATTACCTTTGTGGGCCAATGTGGCACCCCTGTCATCACGCTCATTTATGTTGACAACTCCATTCTCCACAAGCATCCTGAGGTGATCTAGGTTTCCACTGTAAGCAGCGACGTGGGCGGGAAATGAAAGATCTGTCACAAAACAAAATTGATTTCTTAATACAAATATGGGACAGTGTGGTCAAATGGTAGAGTATTCAACTGCTAACATGAAAGTCTCGATTTTGACTCCCAGGCTCAAGTCCGAAGAAAAATTCATCCTGACTCGGGTAAAGGCAGCTGGGAAAGTGCTGACCACACTATCCCTCATATGCCAAGGTCATTTAACAAGATGAACCCATGTGTCTTGGGCGCGAATCGGGAAAAGATAATGATAAGCAGTATAAAATATTTAACTTGATAACTTATATAAACAAATGATATGTTTTTAGCTTGACGTCTGTTAATTCTAGTTTCACCAAAAGTGAACAGCAGTCGACCTACTTTCCTCCTGCTCTGGGTTGTCCTGCTCATGCTCTATGTGCGTGATGTACTCCAGGACATTGTCCTTGTAAAACTGCTGAGCCAGGTCCTTGGGTGTCTCCCCGTGGTCGTTGCGGGCTGACAGAACTGAGGTGGCATTGCCACTGTTGCAGACCAGAAACTTCAGGCAGGGGAGGTTACCCTCTGCAGCAGCTAAATGAGCTAAGAGATAAAAGGAGATCATCTTTTTCAATCATTTTTTTTTTTAGTTAGCAAAAAATAAATACGTTTCTGGAAAAAATAAATTTGTATACAAATGCCCAAAATATTTGGTATTTTTTTCTGCTAAGCTGATAACAGAAATAAATAGGGTTAGGTGTAGTTTCTGGATGTCATTGTGATGGTAATGTTAATCTGCTGTCATCTGCAGTAAGATCTTCACCCCTACCTGTGCACCGCCTCTTCCTCCCCTCTATTCTACCCCCCCCCCCCCCATCCCCCAGTCAGCTGGAATCCCAGGACCGTTACACTGTTTAGTCTCTAGATCTACATTGTGACACACCCCAAGCCGAAAAAGCTCATGGTGCAGACCGTCGCTAACCCTCACCCTGGGTATAGGTGCGCTCAGCTATCGCTTCTTTACAGAAGGTATTTAATTATTTTAAGAAACTAGAAATCTATAATATCGACCATTAGTGTCTTATGTTTTTTATTGTTAGCATTTGATGTATTTTTACTATTATCTATTTTGTAGTAATTTTGAGTTGCATTTAATGATTATCTCTCATTACTATATCCCACAAACTTGTTCTATCCCACACATGTAACTCTAGTTATGTTGTTTATGTTAGCAATATTTAGTAGGCCATGCCTTCTATTTACAGCGTCCTAGGTCGGGGACCAACCAATCCATTCCAATGCTGTTATTATATTTTTATAACAGACAAGGCAAGCGCATGTGTACGAGCAGGAATCCCAAGCTATTATAAAGTTATGTAGATTCTATATATATAACAGAAATTTATAATTAAGGCAACACTTATTACTTAAGTTATTTTATTGCGTACAAAAATCTGTAATAAATTTATTCATACCCTTATGGGTTATTAGTGTTATTATTTTCTATCAGTTGTACTGTATTCACGATAGAGGGGTGGCTCAGACCCCTTATCAGTTGAATTATATATATATATATATATATATATATATATATATATATATATTGCAACACAGTACAGTTTACATTTTACTGTTGACAGTCATGTCAGTTCAAAGTTTCATCTTCTTTGTCAAGATCTTTCTCAGGATTAGCAGTGGGCAAGCTACACATTTTATGTATAAATAAACCTGGAGTGATCTCCCCTAAACTTTCTCGAATATTCTTATATGAAACAACAGGTGATGGCAACTCGGAATATAGACATGATTTTTAATCCATTTTAAATACTTACACTTTTTATAATAGAATAAAATCTCGTAGAAAAAAGAATTGCACACCAAGTGAACGCCAAATTAAATGTGCATAATAGTGCGCAATATTAGTACTTTATAAATTTACATTAGTTTTTTGAGAAATCAGAAATAGCGTAAATTACTACTTCCGGTCAACGGAAATTACTCAAAATTTGAAAGAAAGCAGAGTATTAGATCTAGATCTTTTACTTACTTGTAAAATTCCATTTATCTATCTGAAATAGTACTCAAGTTATAGGCTTTTGAAAAATTCAAAGTAGACATAGTTCCATTTCCGGTTATTGGAAATCGCTCAAAAGTTGATACGGATCTATAATTTTGATATAATACTTATATATGAAATTTCATCAACCTAGCTGTAACGGTACTCAAGTTATCGTGCTTACAGACAAAATGATCTTTTCCCACTCAGGGAGGTGTAAAACGCCGAGATTTGCAAAAATTTCGATTTTTTTTGTGTGCACGGATTACAATACTTTCTCTATACTCTATATATATATACGAGAAAGTAAAAAGTATTAAGAAACAAAACGGGACAGCTTTGTTTCCCTTCTGTAATTTCAAAACAACAAAGGGAAACAACAAAGGGAAACAATAAAGGGAAACAACCTAAAACTTTGTTAATAAATGTGGTAAAACAGAGAATCTCACTAATAATGGCAAAAAAAGGGGATTATTTTGTTTACTTTAACTAAACTTAAAAATTAAAAAAGTCTTTTGTAAGTATTCTTACTTTTAATACTTAATATGTTTTTAAAAAATTTTCATTTGACCCTGTTTGCATTAGAAAACTGTTAGCTATTTTAAAAATTGGATTGTTAGAGATATGAATATACATATTTCAGTTAATTACTTTTTAGGTTTTGGTGACCATCGAGATTTTACTAAAATTATAGTTAAAAAAAAAAAGAAAAAGAAAAAAAAAAAAAAAAAAAAAAAAATGTTAATCTGTTTAACAAGCAGTAGAATCTACATATAATAAAAATGGATGATACCCAGAAAATTTGCAGAAGCTTTCCAAATTTAAAAAAAAAAAAAATGTTTGCCTGGTTAAATGGTGGGAATAGACCAGGGGTTGGCTCTTTCTATGTCAAAATGCGGCTCTCCAGCTCCTTGCACTAATATTAATAGTTATATTATTTCATTTTAAAAATTCAAAATAAATATTAAACGGTAAAGAAACACAACTTTCAACAGGATAAAAATACTCATTAGAGAACAGTGAGAATAGATGCAGTAGAAAGCATACGAGCAGCTAATAGCCACTTGGGCACCAGGACCAGCCCCACAGCCGTGCTATGGACAGCCCCGTGGCAATAATTCCATGCTTGCCACTGCCCAGGTGCCGACTTTTTCGAATATCGTTAAATGGGAATGTTATTTTTATTTAGAATGCATTTCCCTGTCAGTAATCATTATTTTGCCCTGAGTGACGTAGTTTTTTAGCTATTAGTTTCCTATGGTCGAGCTGGGTACTGGACAGTGGGGTACAAGTTTACCATGGGCTCTGTGGGGTCGAAGATAAGTCTGGTGAGAACCAAAGGACAGAAGTGATCGATACACACAGTAATAGAACCGATATATCCAAGCCAGTTAGTCGGCGTTTGCCGTGTTGAGGCCTGCCTGACTAATTGGGAGACACCCTCTGTACCGGTGATATCAGTAAAGATAGAAAAAAAAGTTAACAACTTCTTAAGTGGATTGGGAGAGTCCTATAGTTATATTATTTGATTACTAATTTCATTACTCTGCGCGAAAGATGTGTATGTTTTTATATTAATAAATATTATGTCATATTTAAAGCTATTTATTTTAAATAACAAATCAAATTTATTTACATAATCCTAATCAAATACCAAATATTTGGAAAAAAATGTGGCTCTTTAAAAACTGGGAAATTTTGTAAATTGTAACTTCCATCTTAAAAAGTTGCCGACCCCTGGAATATTAGAGGATGACTGTTGAAATTGTAAAATTAAAGTAAAATAAGAAGACAACTTATACTTTCACTCTATTCATCAATACTTCTAACCCTAACCCAGTCCTTTTTACTTTTCAAATTTTTTTAGTTTTGGAAGCCAAACCAATAAAAAAAAAAAAAAAGCATGTACATAGATATAAATCATCATATGCAAATAATTGAAAAAATTAATTATAGAGCTTAGAGTGAATGGAAATTCTGACTTATAGTACATTCCGTCAAGAGTTGAAAGATGTAATACAGAAAGGTGATCCAATTTTTTTTGTATTTTAAGGGAGGTACAGTAACAAAATATTTGGACACCGTCACTTTTACAACATTCTGTTTTTACCAGGTGTGTTGCCATTGTTGTCAACATTGTCTGAAGATCCTCCCCACTTTAACAGCAGCTGGAGACAGCCTAGCCTTCCATGGTATGATGCTGAGTGGACTGGGTTCCATCCCATGTTGTCAATAACTGATACATCCTTTAATAAGTGATGTTAATTAATGGCTAAAAAAAGAGTACATATTGGACAGTACGCATTAAGGAGGGAGTAGGGATTTAGACTTCAACATCAAACTATGAGAAGGATGAGGTTAAGAAAATGTGATGAAGAGTAAATTTTGTATTTACTAGAGCTGAAAATCATGTTGATTTTCATAAGAATTTTGGTTTGGAGAGTCCATGCAGCAACAACTATTTAATAATTGACCATGTTATTTAAACTACTGGATCTAGATATAACTTGCTAGCCAGGCTAAATTTACTTTTTGAAATCAACTATTTTGCAAATATCTAAGGACAAGCACACTTTTGAGACCACATAATCCAAAGAAGAGGTCAATCAACATGTGTAAAGTTAAATAGACAGAAAGTTAAAAAATCTTTTTAACAAAAAACACTGCTCTAATATTATATGTTAGTACATATGTTTATATCATATCAATCGATGGAATAAATTTTAAAAAATAAGGCTACTTACAGCACCAGATCTAAGGATTGTATTCAAACAAAAAGAGTGACCATGAGCTGCTGCAAGATGTAGTGGTGTCTGCCCCCTTGTGTCTTTGGATGATAGACTGACTCCATTGTTTGCTAAAGCCTAAAATAACACATCAATCACTGATAAAAAATCTAAAAGCAATGCATTTTCATTCTTATTACTTTTAAAATATTTTCAAATTTATATTTTAGGTGCTGTCTTATTAAGGACTACTTAAGTTAAATACTTGATAATTTACAAAACAAGATACAGTGATGGACTTCTTTTACTCCTTTGTTCTTAATTTTAAAGCTAGACTGGTTGACCTCCAACACAACGTGTCGATTTGTTATGCGCCACATAAGCTGTTGACTCCAATTTCAGTTTTTCTTTCTTGATTTGTTTTCATAGCCAATGCCAATCCAAAACAAACAACAAGGCAGCAGTTGTTTGATTTTGGAGTTTTCTCTCCTAGATGGGTTGCTGTCCCCAGCTTTACTTCACTTTTGCCTGTCATCCCTACTGGGACATAGGCCGCTGACAAGAGCTTTCCAGACATCTCTGTCCCGGGCTAGTCTCTCCAACTGTCTCCAGGTGTATCCAATCTTCTTGGTGTCTTCTTCCAGGTCACGTCTCCATGTCTTTCTTGGTGTGCCTCTCCTCCTGCCGTGTGGATTCAAGTGAGGGCCTTTCTTGTTATGCTAGATACAGGCCAATCCATTTCCATTTTCTCTGGAGGATCTCTATTTCAACTGACAGTTGATTTGTCCATTGCCATAAAACATCATTTCTGATGGTTTTAGGCCAGCGAATTCGCAGGATCTTTCTGAGGCATGTGTTTATAAATGTCCCCAGCTATCAAGCCCTATATGCCTAGGATTTCAAACTCAAGGCTTTTCTGTTTAGCAACCATGCTATTTATCGACCCAACAACACCAACCCCTAAGTGAATCACAAGTACTGTGCAAGAACGTGAGCTTACCTCTATACAGTTTTCATAGCCTCTGATGGCTGCAATGTGGGCAGGTGTCCACCCTCTAGGTGTTGTCACAGTAGGATCAGCACCATGCCATAACAACCAGTGAACACACTGTCATGAAAACCAAGAAATTTGATTAATTTTTGTATTGTGCTCAAAATTGTAAATAACTAGCTAATTTATGTTACAAGTATTAATAGTTTAATGGGTATGTTGTTGACATGTTGATAGTTTGGCATCTTGTGATGGCGTATGATGATGTGTGATGATGTGTGGTGATAGGAGATGGAGGTGAAAATCTCTTACAGAGACATGACCCATTTTTTGACCACACCTTACACATTATAAACTATTATAAACTTGAGTCAATAAAGTTAACTCAAGACTTCTGATTGGCTACACTGTTTTGTATTTTATCTGTCTGTAATATTCAGTTGGTAAATATCAAATACGAGCCGACCCGCGGCATATCATACGCCGCTATTTAGTTGTTGTTTTTTCTACTTTTCAGTAATTCATAATTTGTGAATTCAACACTACCAACGCTGCCACTGAAAATATTTCTTTAAAACACTATATGTAGCTCGTTAAGGACGATAACCCCCCTCCCCCCCCCCCTCCGTTAAAGTAAACTCCACTTAGTTACCCCCCCCCCCTTTGTTTAAAATCGTCTCAAACTAAATTATCTGCCCCTAATAGTCGTCACTAAACCCGGCTCTGTTTGTAAACATTTAGAGTGAACCACAGCTCACTAAGACCATGTAGGGGTGGGGGTGGTAGGGAGCGCGTTTACAGCTTGTTTTCTAGCGTCTCCCAGAAGAGAATTATATATATGGATTTTATACATGATTTATTTATGAGAGGCCTACCTCTAATGCACCAGCATTACACGCTGTGTGAAGAGGAGTAAATTTGTCTTTTGGTTCCACTTCATTGACACTAGCACCATTTCTCACCATAACCTCCAGGTGTAGAACATCACAGTTTCTGACAGCATCGTGGATGGACTGATAATTTGCGGGGTTTATATTTGCTGCTACAAGAGAGAATAATAAGTTTGAACTATACCATAATATTATAAATAGAAACTGAGAACAATAATACAGTTGGATTTTACTAAATTACTTTCTATTATTTATTAATTAATACTTATTATAACATGGTTAGAGTTGATAAGTGGAGTACTGGAGTAACTTCAGTAAGTGTAGTTTAGTCACTATAGTGACTATAGTGTGGTGTTTGGTTTGGTCACTTTTACTATTTATTTATTTATTATTTTTGGTCACATGAAAAATACTAAATACTGCTTTTACATTTTAATTACTTTAAACTACTTTTTTACTAGATCTACATAAAATTTCAGTCATAAAATAATAAAAATATTTGGTAATCTATCGTTTTGGGCATGTAAAATCGTCCGAGACTAGTTATGTGAAAAAAAAGGTGACTCCTTAAATTTTAATTATTTCACATTTTTAGGAGGATTCATGTATTAAAATTTGTAAAACTGTTTCAATGATTCATTTATGTACCTGTTTTTAAACAATTGTATTAAAAATTTTCAGTAATAAATAATGACTAGTGATGTTTTCATCAGATACAACCAAGCTTATTTACTTTAGCAGCCATCTTAAGTTGTTGTTTTTTTTTTTTTTTTTGGTAAACTTGTGAGATATTCAGGGGAAGCAATTCTCTATTTTATATATGGCTGCTGTTTGTATAGCATATCTTGCTCGCAAACACTGAAGTTTAAAGTTAACTTCTGGCCTATTGATTTTGATTTATTATTCATTTTTTGACACAAATATATCACAATATACTTCTATTAAAGACTTAACAATGAGGCAACCTTTTTCGCACATACTAGCCTCGGCCGATTTTACGTAGGGCCTACATAAAACATTTTAATTTTTTTAAATAAATATTAATATTAATATATTAAATTATATAGGATTGTATTTCGTCCTAACTATATAATAGATCTAGATCTACTACTAATTTAAATTTAAATGTACGGAATAATATTCCGTAGGCCTACATTTAAATTTAAATTAGAATATTTTAAAATTTAATAATCTGTTTATTCTAGGTTTAATTATATTAATTAAAGGCAATTAAAGGTTTCTGCATGAGATTGTATTTCATCCTAACTATAGTAGATCTATATAGATCTAGATTTTCTAGATCTACTACTAATTTAAATGTACGGAATATTTTAATAATTTGTTTATTCATGATAAATTTACGAACCTGGCATTCTTTACATAGGAAGCTGATACACAAAATGTCAATAATTGACTCAATAATGAATCCGATGTTTTTATTTACATGTCGTATCTAGAGAGTTATTTCGGCAGTAAATATTCGCACCGGTACAGCTTTTGCACTAAAAAATTGAAAATACTATTCAACTTAAAATATTTACAATTTAGACTATAATAATTTAAAAGTTTAAATTATTTTTTTCTTCTACATTTGTATTTTATAAGATTTTAAAATAAATTTATACAAATATTTGAGATTTTATTAAAGGGAACCCACTCGATAAATAACGTTTTTTGGTAAATAGGCTTTATTAACTCCCTTCAAACTTAAAAAAAAGGGGGGGGGAGGTTGATCAAGAATAAGGATTGCAATGTATTTTTAAAAATCATAGACTGTGTTCTTAACGATGCAGAATAGAATACCAAATTGGTATCGATAAGGCTTCCAGGAAGTCTCACAATTAAGCAGAGGCGTAGCGACCCTTCCCGGCGCCCGGGGACAAACTTTTCAATTTAGCACCCCCCCCCCCCTCAAACTTTCGATTTGCACCCCCCGCCCCTCGAGATTTCCATTTGCAAATTTATTTTTCCAACCCATTTTGGCGCCCCTAAGGTCTGCCCCCCGGGGACATATGCCCCCCCCCCCCCCCGCGCCCCCCCTCGCTACGCTACTGCAATTAAGTCCCATATTAATCTCATAAACCTCACAGTTAAGAAATTAGTTTTAAAAAAAGGTTTAATGCCATATGAGAATCCATCAAAATTGATTGATTAAACTAAATATCATGTTAAGTATGCATTTAAAGATCTCCAATATAAAAACATATTTTTTTAGATCTAAATTCAGAAAAGATCTTATGAAGTCTTGTTGGATAATATTAAGTTATTAGCTGGAATGAGAAGGGTATAAAAGTCCACAAATAGAATTAGTTTCACTTTATGTATCTGTGAATAACTATCACAAAATGGACCTGAATACTGTTTGCTCAGTAAATAAACAGCACCAATTTGTATACATTGAATTCTTCATAAATGGCAATGCGATTTTTAGATTTATTTTAAAACTCTCCCCTACTCCATCATCAGACTGTTACTAAAAGTGACCTTCTCTTCCCCCTCCTAAAGTTAAAAAAAGTCACCACAAGAAAAAAACAACTAAAAAAATAAATTTCAGAAGAACGCAAAATTTAAGCTACAAGATTTTTAATCCACCCGCACTTCCTCCTCATAGTAGGAGCTTATCAAGTTTCTCACCACTACTCAGGTGTACCTTACCTGCTGAAGAAGTGGCAGACAGTAAAATCACTTAGCAAATAGCCATACCAACATCTATTTGATAACCAGACTGCACTCACTGATTCAATGATAAAATAACAAGAAGAAACAGCTTTTAATTTTTTTAACAGAATATGAATTTTAATAGGGAGAGTACAAAACTTAACATTACCAATCTATTTCAACTCTAATTTAAAGTGGACTATTTTTATTTTAATAAATGAGATACAAAATAGCCAAATTTAAAAAAAAAAATACAACAAATAAATCTTTTTGATTATAAACAGATAAGAATATAAACAGCAGTCAAGAATATTAAAACATGAAGCTTGGCTAGCCCCATGAGGCTGTATACAAATGTAATTATAATAAAGCTGTAGACTGTCCAAATACTTACATCCTACTAAGTTCCATTCTATATACACATTTTGATGACTATTATAAACAAAAATAAATATTATACAAAAAAATGGACATTTTCTAGTTCTGACCGGTTAAATTAGCACACACATATTTCTCCACTAGATTGAAAAAATATATTTTCACTTAGTAAAAGAAATTAACTTCATTAGATAAAAATATTTCCTCACTGGGTAAAAAAAAAAATTTTACTGGGTAAAAAGTAGTAGTTCACTTGGTAAAAAGTGTTCTTCACTTTATAAATCTTTCTTTGCTTGGTAAAATGTACAGTTTCAGATCATGATTAAAATAAAAAGTTATTTTAACTTGTGAAAGGAATGCATAGAGAAGCTGGCTGAGGCACCAGAAGTTAGAGTGCATACATCTTGCTAACATCAATAAAAAAATCATTTACAATCTTTTGTTGATTGTACATAAATATGGTGTTAATCATGGGGACAATTTTATTTTTGTAAAAAATATTTTTAAATAAATAAGCTTCATAGTGTTATTAGTATTTTGAAAAAAGCTAAGTGTTTATCAATACTTAGGGTAAAAACAGATTTGCATCAACTGTTACTAAAGATAAAGATAAATTATAGAAAGGCTTTGCATTAAAAACAGAACAAAACCATTTGCAGTATATTCTATAAATACGTTTGTTAAAATAATAAAATGCTAAAAAAGTTATTTTAAAAAACGAGATTTATATTAGGTGAGAAGTTAAAACTGATATGTACCTCTAAACTTAAAAGAGCTAGACACAAAACATAAGTATACAGGGTACAAAAAATAAAATAGAATGTATTTGACACAACCAATTTTGGCATCAAGTTTTTAAACACACTAAAATGATTCATGCCAAATTTTTTAAAAACTTTTTTTTAAAAAAAGGAAAACAGCAAAATACAGGCTCCTTGAATAAAATGTGAAATAAGGCAAGAAAAGCATACCAGAGGACAAACCTCTATGATAACAGACAAAAACAGCCAATGTCTATACACCTCAGCCAAACCAATTGGAAATTTAAAAGGCATATTGTTATATATTTTAATACAGGTACACAGGAAAAAATCCAAGATAACTCACATACCTGTTTGTGAGAAAATTTAAAATTTGATGTTTTAATACAATGCAGGAAACGATTAAAAAGTTGCAGTAAAAAAACAACTAGGGTTAGTTCACAACCAAAACTGTGGAATATACCTGTGGGGGTACAAGTCAGATGATGCTGCCCCAATGTTAAGAGATTGTTAGTGTGCTGTTAGTTTTCCTTAAGTTACTTCATTCAAATTTTAATTACCTCCATTTCTAAAAACATAAAAATATGTTCATCGAATGTTATTTCTGTAAATATTACATTTAGGATTATTTTAAGGGCACCGACCATTTTTTATATCAAAAATTTTATGGAAGTTAATTGTAACTATCTAGTTACCTCCCATCATGTACACCAAATAACTAAATAGAAGTAATAGTGTCATACATGAACAAGCCTACTAAAGTATTTAAAAAAATTTAAGTATTAAAGTTTTTAAAATGAAGAGTTACAGTGTATATTTCACATGCCTTCATTGTAAGTTTTAAGAATGGAATCAACAACAACAAGGCACCCTAAGCTTGAGCATGAGTGACAACAAAGTAGTGTTACGATTCCCATATGTATAACAGTGGCGTTGTTACAAATGTTACGAGTAAACAGAAATAATGGGATGGTTAAAATAAAGTTTTAAAATCTATTTTAAAACATAAACATTTTTGATTAATTGTTAAAAGACATTTTTTTACTAAAATATTTTTTGATTAATTATATATAGTGATCATAAGTTTTAAGTAGATTTCTTAATTTGTATTTGGTAAAATCATTAAAAATAGTCCAAGTTTTTACCCAGTTAATATAAAAGATAAGAAAAAACAATGATAAAAATGATGGCCAGATTTCTGCACCAAAAATGTGCTATACTATTCCATCAAAAGACCTAAACTTCCTCTGCACAAACAAATCAACACAATATTTACATGTCATGTTCAACAAACATTTACTGTAACAAAGAGTTATGTTAAAAAACTTGAAGATTCCAGCGAAACAAATATTCAACACTCAGCAGAAAGAGGTTTTAAAACAGGGAAGTCTATTAAATGAATACTGTCCAGTGTCAGCCACAGTTATCAGATCTTAATGGTCACAACAATTTACTGAATAAACTTTTTGCATGCGCACATTTGATACAGATAGTATCACATTACAGTAAGCTTGAACTGTACTTTTTTTTCTAAATACTGGGTTGCATATCAGGTACATTTGTACAACAATCACAACACAGAGCGTTTCTGATATAAAGTGTTGGCAGTGTTTTTAAACTATTTCAATCAATATTTCGGCTGTTACGAACCCTTTCGGTAAAGAAAGATATGGAGAAATAAATCTTACTTGAAAAAACAAGTAAGTTAACTGCTGTAGAATTTAAGTAGCACGCATTACATTATATTATTGCTAAAAATTACTGGTACCTCATTATAAATAAACAAAAGGACATTTGGTTTATCTGAATGTAAAATGTACAGTTTAAAAAAAATGAATAAACAAATAATGTTTAGCACCCCTCTCCTCCAAGTCCCATCTTTTAAAAAACAATGATCAAACTGGCATCCAGTTTGATAGAACAGGTAAACACTAACGCAGTATGGAAGCAAGTGAACAGAGTAACATGTTAAGTAGTGGCTCCCCCACAGCCATGGTCAGTGTACCCCCACACAGCACCGCTGGACTGGTCAGTTTCTCACCACAGCTCCGACCTCTGCATGTGGGGCAGAACTTTCCTGCCACTGTCTGGCCTGGCCTGCTGAACTGGACTGCCGTGCATGATGGCAGACATCTCGTCCTGGTTTCTTGCCCTCTCCATGTTCCTGACTCCGTCCAGCCTCACACGATTTTGGGGGGGTTTACGTCTGGAGAGGAATAAATGAGGATTATTTATCAGGATTACTTAATTGCCATTAATATATATAATTGAACATAATATCAATTATTTATAGAAACTTCCACATTTAAAAAACATTTGTCATTAAAAAATTATTATACAAAATAACAGCTTCTAGGCCCCTACCCCCCCCCCCCCCCTTTCCCTGCACCCTTACTCAAAGAATGTATGGTTAGAAATACTGTGAGTATGAGATCTATTAGTCTGACTTTCATCAATTATAGCAGGCTATTTTGATATAAAAATCACTTGCTTTTAAATATATATTAGTAAAGCACATATAAAAAAAAAATATTGTAATCAGCAAGTTTTCTGGAATATTTTCAAATTTAATGTAGAACTGCAAAAAGCAAGAGATTACATAACCTGTCTTGAGGTCTAAAAAAATTAATTATGCCAACAGAACATGTTGTGTTCAAGCCAAAGAGCTATGTATGTTAGTGATAAGTCACAGAATTACGGCTTTAAAATGTTGGCCACAGAAAAAAAATCTCAGTTAATCTACTTATTAAAGAATGAACAATTATCCAAAGTGATGACCGTAACTCACGGGGTGGGGGACTCCGACATGTGTTTCATCACCTTGGGCGCTGTCTTCTGTGGCACCCCCATGTTGTTCTGCAGCATGATCTCACTGATGGAGTCTGCGCTGTTTTTCTGGGCGATGCCTTCTCCCTCTGGCCTCATGCGGTGCTGCGGGGGGATCTCGTCCCAGCCACTAAACAAAATACATCGATACTTTTTTATTTTTTACACCTCAACACTGAGCTAAGCTGTCCTTAAATTGCAATAATTTACAAATTAGCGTAATGTTTAGGAACTAACTGTCGATAGGGCAGACGAAATAGAATTCACCAGTTTCTTTGACTTTGGGTTATGAAAGGATAGTGTGACAGAACTATGCCCTGCAAACTTAAGCTACCCATTAGAGCTGAGTTGACTCAGGGATACCCTAGTGATATGCCAGGAAGTCCTAGCGCTATACCTTCAACAAAGCATATGATCACAAAACTAAGCTGTACATAAAGGAATATTTAGCTACAGAAACCAATTAAAATTTTACATATTCATTTTCTTAGAAGAGTTATTGCTCTTTACTTCCACTTTTTATTATTAAACAGAATTTACTGTTGTGTGGGGGAAAGAAAAAAAAAGGGGGGGGGGAATAACGTAGATGATTAATGTCATATGTTATGCTAACCAATAAAAATTTCCTGAGGTCAACAATTAGTGATTATCTCCCTTTAGAATAGCAGATCTACCATACCTGCCAGCAGAAACCTGGTGTAGTCTCCCCTGCTTGGGTTCTCTGGGTGTTTTTGTGCCCTCTAATCTCATCAATGGCCCCATCCTTTCTCCTTTATGTTTATCAGCAATCTGTCAATCATATTACAGTATTTGTATGATGTCTGTTATATCATTTAAATACAGTAAAGTTACTTATTTAAGTTCAATGAGAAGAATAAAAAGTTGATGTGACTAAAATTTTAGAACCGAGTCTTCTAACTCCAGACTTAGTGTACTATACACTCTAGATTTATGTCCTCAAACAGACAGGACATAATCATTTACTTAACATGTGTAGCTAACAAAAGAACTGTAGAGAAAGCCACACTGATGCTGCAAGTTGACTGCAACTACTACCTTTCCGGTCATTATTTTTTCCCCATATGAACCCAAGACACATAGAGCAGATAAAGTGGAGTTCATCTGTTTCAATGGCTATTTGTGTACAAGGGGATAGTGTGGTGAGTTCTATGCCCAGGCACATTTGTTTCCCCGAGTCAGGAACCCATCAGAGCTGAATGGGCTCAGGGCAATCTTAGAGACTGCAATTAAAACTCTTGCAACCACCAACCACCACTTTTAGCAACTACCCCAATAGCAATTACCACACTAGCAACTATCACAATTGCAACTACCACTTAGCAACCACCACTCTAGCAACTACCGCAACAGCAATTACCACACTAGCAACTATCACAATTGCAACTACCACTTAGTAACCACCACTCTAGGAACTACCGCAACAGCAATTACCACACTAGCAACTATCACAATTGCAACTACCACTTAGTAACCACCACTCTAGGAACTACCGCAACAGCAATTACCACTCAGGAACTACCACAATAGCAACTACCACCCAGGCAACTACCACCCAGACAACTACCACAACAGCAGCTACCACCCAGGCAACCACCACTCTAACAACAACCACTACTCACCTCCTCTGCTCCAAGCCCCAGCCTTGGCTTGGGTGGCTGTTCTGATGCTGGGATAGGCTCTGTGCTGTAGTGATCCAACAGTAGCTTTGTAGATCCATGTTGCCTTTGCTGGTACTCCTCAGCATCTGAGCCCTTCACCTAAACAATGTAAACAAAATGTCAACTAAACGTAAACAAAATATTAATTGACTAATGTAAACAAAATGTCAACTAAACAATGTAAACAAAATATTAACTAAACAATGTAAACAAAATGTCAACTAAACAACGTAAACAAAATATTAATTAACTAATGTAAACAAAAAGTCAACTAAACAATGTAAACAAAATGTTAACTAAACAACCTAAACAAAATGTCAACTAAACAACGTAAACAAAATGTCAACTAAACAACGTAAACAAAATGTCAACTAAACAACAAACAAAATGTTAACTAAACAATGTAAACAAAATGTTAACTAAACAACGTAAACAAAATGCCAACTAAACAATGTAAACAAAATGTCAACTAAACAACGTAAACAAAATGTCAACTAAACAATGTAAACAAAATGTTAACTAAACAATGTAAACAAAATGTCAACTAAACAATGTAAACAAAATGTTAACTAAACAATGTAAACAAAATATTAACCAAACAACATAAAAAAATATTAACTAAACAATGTAAACAAAATGTTAACTAAACAATGTAAACAGAATGTTAACTAAACAATGTAAACAAAATGTTAACTAAACAATGTAAACAAAATGTCAATATATAAACATTACCATGTAAACAATACTATAATAACAAAAAGTTTTACATGGATACATAATCAGCTTTTTACTAATGCTAGAATCCATATCAAAACCTGCTGGCCCATTATACATGTAGGTGAGTGTCTGTGATCAGAGAATATAGGAGGCCAGAACAACATCAAGGCTGCCTTTACTTTGCCCAACTAATGCTGGGTACATATTAGAGCTGGGAGGACCAATGATCTTCTTAGAGATATCAAGTCTTAGCATTTAATATTTGACTCCACAATCTTCTGGGCTAACAATCAAGTGCTCTAGCTCACAATGACATAACCTTATACTATTATATATGCTATAATATATAATCTTTTCCCGTTTGTGCCCAAGACACATGGGGCAGATGAAGTAGAGTTTATGTTTTAATTACTTCGGCATACAAAGGGATAATGTGGTCATCACTATTGTCAACTATATTATACGGATGAAGAAAAAAAAATTGATTTGAACATCTAAGCATTTTGAAAGTAAGTTGTAAAACTGAAAAGTATCATGGGTATGCTGCTTCGTCAACTTGCTATAGTGGTAATTACTGCTACTTGATAACTGTTATGTACCAGTTTTAACCAACACATTTCAAGTTACTTACCTTAGGTGCTGGTCGAGGGGATACCTCAAGATTTCCATAGTTCTCAATCAGATTTCTCATCCCATCCCCCTTGTTCAGCTCGGCAATGTCCTGCGCCTCTGGCTTCACCCCCCTAGGGTGGATGTTCCTTACAGGGGCAGGGTTGGCGTATCCTTGCATGTTCTCGTTCATGGATCCACGGTTTTTCATGGCGTTCTCACGCGCGGCTTCCGACCGCAGCCTCGCTTCAGGTTTGACTTCACCGGGCGAGTCGTTATGAGCGAACCAATCGGATGCTTTGTGGTTGCGCTCATAGTTCTCTCGACCTTCAACATGGACACGAGGGTTGGCCAATAGGGGCTCATCTGTGCAGGGTGAACTGAATTCATTCATTTTGATTTGAGTGCTAAAGGTGACTGAATTTTAGACCTGGATATCAATGCTGAGGAATTAAAAAAAACTAATGTCAGAGAACATTAACTGTAACAATATAAACTATGTATTGCACTAGTTCTATCTTGCCTTTATAAATAACAATTAAATATGAAAGTTTAGATTAAATATGTAAATTTAATTGTAAGTCATCATTACAACAGAAGTCAACCCTAGAGTTATTTACATTCATTTACACAAAACAAATATAACAATTTTGTTTTTCTAGTTCTTAAAGACTCTAAAAAGATTTACTAAGTCCACTTTGTGGTGCATGGTAGCACAGGGACAAATGTCTGACCACCCACCTAGCTTCACCCTTGGGCTCTTGTATTAATTTCTAATTAAACCAATTGTTAAGATTTACATTAACCATGGCAATACTAGTCCAAGACTTGCTTAGTCAACAGTCCTTGACTAACTAAAACTAATTTAAACAAACTTGTGTTTTTAAATTGCCATTAAAAAATTGTACATTTTGTTTCATTTTAAATAACCATTACAAGTTTTTAATTAATCTAATTTTGCTTCCTTCTTTACCTTTTGTTAAGTTAATCCAGTGAATTAAACAATCCTGTAAAGTTCAGTGAAAGCTAGTATCAGAGAAGATTTAAGTGTTGAATATCTTAATCTCCAATCTACCATGTTCTGTATCCAAGCCTCAGGTAATACACACAATCTGTGGGAGAGAAAACACTTGTTTTAAATACAGCTGATAGGCTAAAACATGAATCCGATAATGTTAGATAAGCTGATGATTTATTTCACTATTAATTCTTATTAAAATCATCTTTATGCATGCTGAATGTTAAAAAAAAACCCCATAAACAGGTGCTTGTTAATTAAATGAAATAAACTTAATTTAAAGTGTTTTTTAAAGTTACTATTATTTTTACAGAGATATATTTTTAAAACAATAATGCTTTCCTAATTTTGAATATTCATGGTTTTTTAAAACCTGACATTTTTTCACATGACCTGACTTAATGTTATATTGATACAAACATGACATGTCTATAGACAAATGTATATCATCCTGTATTAGATATTGTAAACAATTTTGTGAACAGAAAGAGTAACAAGCAGATTTTATGTCTAGTGAATAATATGGATTAAACCATTCTCCTTAGCCACCCCCCACCCCTCCCCTACTGATCTCTAAGCATGCCATTAACCCTTAAAGTTCAACAGTTCATGTCCGCTGGCCAGAATGTGAGGAGGATCTTAATGGAATTGGAGGAGGGGGAAGGGGGGGGGGGACAGGACAGTTATAAGGTGATGTGACTAATATGATCATAGAACAGCAGGTAGCAAGTTTCTGCTATAGAAAAAATACAATTCCATTGTTAAAACCAATGAGATATTACTTAGGTCTTAAATAACCAACAATCTAATAACATAAATTGTGGGCATATAATATCAGGAGATATTTGCTAGAAATTTGCCTTTTCACTGTTAACTTTAAACCAAATTTATTAACTATCATTCAGACTCTTTTTGGAACATTATTTGAGAAGTGCAGACAAAAACTCATTCTAATTTTTTTATAAATGAAACAGAAACAAATTGGAATTTTTTTTCTTAAATGTCAATCTCAATAATTTTTTTTTTAAAAATGCAATTCCAGCATTTCCTTATCTACTATAGAAAGCTGAGTGCACTTTATCAGGTTAATTTTAAACTTCACAGCCCATTATTCACCTGGTTCATGGGATTTCAGGACTTTAAAAATTAACCTGTACCTTATCATAGCAATATTTCACTCACTATTCCAAAATTTTTTTTAAAAGTTAAAAAGAAAAATATGTGCTTTATTCTAATTAAGGGACAACAAATTACAACTCTAAAAGAGATGATTAATCATATTCTAACCTCATGAAACAAATCCCCTGAAACCATACTTTAATCAAAGCTTCAGCATAGGGTTTCCCCCATAAAGATAATACACCCACCTACCTGAGATTAACTTTTAAATTTATAACCAATTTTTTTACTTGTTCACAATAAGCCTGCTAGTAAACACAATCTCATGCCACATATATAGGACTAGATCTATCTATTTCATTTAACTGGGAAGTGAGGTTTTATACAGACAGCAAATTGGCTAAAGAATTTTTTAAGTCTATTTTGTTTCATATTTGGATCAATCTGAATATTACTAAATCCAGCTATAGGCTAACCCCAAGCCAAGCTAAATTTATCAATTAGGGCATATTAACTATAGGCCAGAGGCGTAGCGACCCTTCCTGCGCCCGGGGACAAACTTTTCATTTGCACCCCACCCCCCCTCAAACTTTTGATTTGCACCCTCCCTCGAACTTTTCATTTGCAACCCCCCCCCCCTCGAGCTTTTCATTTGCACACCCCCCCCCCCTCAAACTTTTAATTTGGCGCCCCCCCCCCCAGGGCCGGCGCCCAGGGACTATAGGCTAACCCCAAGCCAAGCTAAATTCATTAAATGTAGGCCTATCTAGTATCTAACTATAGGCTAACCCCAGGTCAAAGCTTAAGCTAAACTATGAACTAACCCTTAGTTCTAAGCCAAAACTTTAACAAAATTCATCAAATTGTGTTCATATAATGTGTCTTTTTAAAAGAAAATGTATATAAGCTACAAAAATACATGCTTAGAATTTAAAAATAAAATTGTTCTTTACCCACGGACATGTAGACTGAATAATTAACTAATCACCGGCTGATCATCAGAGCCACGGGTTCTCACATTAACACAGCACCCGTCTCCAGTGGCTGAGGACTGCTGTGTTGACCAGAGACCCTGACGCTTCTTTAACAGGCAACTTCAGCCTAAAGCCCGCCCCACCCGTGCTGTAGCACCCCCCCCCCCCCCCTGTGCTGTAGCCCGCCCCACCCCGCGCTACAGTCCCCCCCCCCCCCCCCCCCCCACCCAGCTCCTCGCGTGCCAAACATCTGTTCCATTTAGATCGCTACATGACCAGTTACTTTAAGGGGGGAGCTATGGGGAGAATATTTATTTTAAAACGGCATTTTAAGACAAAATAACATATGTATAGCAAATGTATATGTATTTAATGAACATTTATGTAGAAAATAGCACATGATTTTCATGAGCTGATCAGATTTTGGGGTTAAAATACATTTTTATATACAGTTTTCAATTTTTTTTGCTTTAATAACCACTTATAATTTTAAGATCATTTTAAAAACATATGTTCACAAGGGTTCTCAGAAAGAAGCGCAACAAAAAAAAAAGCGCAACGGAAAAAAGCGCAAAAAAATGCGCAACTGAAAAAAGAGAAAACAGAAAAAAGCGCAATCAGAAAAAAGCGCAAACAGAAAAAAGCGCAAACAGAAAAAACGTTGAGATTTGCAAAAATCTTAATTTTTTTTTTTTTTTTTTTTTTTTGCATGATTACAAGACTTTCTCTATACTTTGTATATACGAGAAAGTAAAAAGGTGTAGAAATGTAAACTGCAGTTTGTAACATATCTAAGAAAGCCTATTTAATTTTAGCACTTCCTATATTGAGTTCAATAAGGTGTGTAGTTAGCCAAAAATGTGTAGTTCTTCACTCAACCAACAAACTGTAAACAGCAAATATTTTGCTTAAAGACAAGAAGTTTGAAAATATCCTTCACTGCTACTATTGTACTAATTAATACTTTAGTATAGCTAATATCTAAAATAGAAGAAGTTTCTGTTACTTAGAAATAATACTGAAACATTTTTTTTTTAAGTCCACAAATATGAAAATTGTTGTTTTTTTTTTAATTGAACTTATTTACACTATAACGATGATCAACCGGAATAACTAAAAATAGATCATAGGGCCCAGACTTGTGACAATAGTAAACACATCAATGTGTATGCTTTTAAATAGCCTTGGACTGCTATTAAAAATTGCGGTATGGCATCCCTCCCCCCCCTCCCCACAACTAGACGAGGAGGCCTATAGTATACGTCATAACTTGAACAACTGCTATTTGAGATAGCTGATGACATCACTTTATCTCCCCCCCCCCTCCCCCAAACCACCTTGCGGTATGTACGCGTGGGCCTACTTGGGGTCACAGTGAGTTCAAGAATGCCCTATTTACTCCAGTTGTTACAACGTTGTTTTTTTTATCTCCCCTCCCTATGAAATAATTGTAGTTATCTACGCATCTGACATTGGTGATGTCACTAGCCTTTAATTTTTTTTTTTTCACGAACGCAAGAAAGGCTGGCTTTTTGCAAATTTCGTTTTTTTTTTAATCTGTGTTTCTTCTACATTCAGTATCACCGTCTAGCCGTGAAATAGTCTGCTAGAACGGTTATCCTTAAACTAAGTGATAATATTAAACAAGACTGTACTCGCGCGATCTTGGTCCTTTAATAAACTTTATTTAGGTCCATCTCTAGAATACACCGGGAGTTCAAATAAGCCAAAAAAAAAAAATCACGTGTAGCCTAAACTAAAATCTAAACCAATCCAGAAAAAAAAAACGAAAAAAAAAATGACGTCACGCCAATGTTGGGTAACCCTAAGCCGGCATAGCAATAGATGTACCATGTACGCATGCGTGATGGAAAACAGATAAAAAATGCACCACGAGAACCGGCGAGACTAGTTTTGTGCGTCAAAACTAGATCACGAGATTAGCGATTGGATAGGCCTATACCCGGTTCAAATCTCGCGAACCTCGAAAGAAAAAAAACACACCCTGGGAAGAAAGATTTCCCGGTTTTTAAAGATATTTCCCGGCTATTCATAAAATTTCCCGGTTTTCCCGGCCGGGAAATTAAATTTCGAAATTCCCGGTTTTTTCCCCGCTGCTAGGGTTGCCAGTATTCGAGCAGACTGTCCAGGATAAAATAAATATAAATACTGGACAAGTATATGAATAATACTCTGTTACCCCCCTTCTTCTGCTTTGCGGCATACCTGAGAAGGGAAGGATGGAAAGGTGTCCAGTATTTTCGGAAAAGGTATCTGGCAACCCTACCCGCTGCGTGGGAACCTTTAATTTAAAGCGACAAAGGACGTATGACGACATATCAAACAACAAGATACTTCACAACGACAGTAACATTAATTTAGACACCGATATTTTTCCTGTAGACGATCTAAGGGGAGATGTGGTAGACTTACACACAAACACAGACAAATCTTTACCTACATTCCTTCTCACAGTAATTCCTGATTTTATTAAACATAATCACGCGTTAACATTTTACAACATGATTCAAATTCAAAACCCTACACAAACAATTTCTGGTTTGTTTGTTTTTTTAGATATTTAGCCACACATTACAGTTCACCCGTAAAATATCTTAGAAAAGCAACATTACAACTCGCGAAACAGTGGCAAGCTCACCAAGGTCTCGGGGCCTTGTGTAATTTTAGTGGGGTTAGTTTGGTCGAAATCCCCCTCTTAGAGTCGTGTTTTAGTTTAAACATAGACATTTTTGAATTTAATGAAAATCAGGTCATTTGTCCGAAACTTAGAAGTAGTGATAGGTTTAGGGAGACCATGTATCTTTTATTTTTTCAAAATCAGTTTATGTACATTAATAATATAGATGGGGCGGGTCACTCTTTCGCGTGTTCTATGTGTAACAAGTTATGGACTGTATGTTTTGACTACGGCCCGTATGTTGGCATTCTACTACGGCCCGTATGTTGGCATTCTACTACGGCCCGTATGTTGCCATTCTAC